ACAATTTCCCAGGGGGGGGGGGGGGGGGGTATTGTTCTCGGGGTGGTTGTCCTAGGGGTTAGTTTTCCCGGAACCCATATAGTTCACTGTTTTGCATGACTATTTATTGTGGATATGAAAATCTAAAATAAGTTAAATTACTGGTGAACACCGTAATGGTGATACACCTAGATCGTTTTCCGAGCGAAATTGGAGGGAACATTCATGTTTTTTGCAGAGGTATTATGCCAACCCCTTCCTGACAAAAAGTTGTATCAGTTTTATATTCATTTTAATATAGAGCCACATGCATTAGTTATTTAAAAGTTCGTTCCATCGGCTCAAAGGGAAATTGATTAGACGTCTATGAACGACTGACGGAGAGAAGCTGTTTTTTTTTTTTTTTACGGTTTTGTATTTAAATGTTCTGACATGCTACCAGTGGCGTATCAAGGCCTTTGCAGCAAGAGGGGCATTATATCTGTTTTTACCGTGATCCAGTATGTTTCCGTTAGGAACCTACGCTCTGAGGGTCATGCATGGTTATGGAAGGGTGGCTGACTATTTTCAAAAGTAAGGGTCTTTTCAGACCTTTCACAAAGACTGAGGTCGACTTAGGTTGGATTTGGACTGTGGCAGGCTGTTAGTGCCACTGTGTGCTCTCATCATTCCTGGAGTTGGTCTTTCAAAGGACGTTGAAATTGTGGTCATAAATCTACAAAATTGACACTTTTGTATATTTCACTGTTGAAGAAGAAAAAGTTTATCTAAAAAACATATTTATTTATATCCTTTTTTTGGGGGGGGGGGGATTTTCCTCTAATTTCATATCTGGTTCATTAACTTTTATGCGCATAAACTGCCCATTATAGCATAAGTCCAAATCTTAAGTAGAACTGAAATTTAAGTAATTTTTGGTTCTACCATGAATCATCAAAAATATCAATTACGTAGATTTGTGACCAAGATATGCACATCGCTTTAGAGACAAATGGTGAGATCAACCATTGGCATGAACGGCCTGTCATAGTTCAAGTCCAACTTTAGTTGATATTTGTCTCCGTTAAACATCCCCCCCCTTGCTCCTCCTACAAAACGCCGCTACATAACATAGCACAACGACAACGTGGATTGCTAAGATCGACGTCCTTTTAATGCACTGCCTTGAATGGACGTCACACGTATCAGTCCACGCAAATCTAAAAGTCCCTTTTTGTCTTCGTGAAACACTCCCTTTCTCCTCCTACAAAAACGCCGGTACATAACACTTTGTATTGGCAAGAGGTACAACAAAGAAAAAGGTCAATTACCGGTTTGTTCTAATAAAAGGCCATCCATTCTCTTTTGAGTAGGTACTTTGTATTTTAAATGCACTTTGGCCCCGTAGTGAGAGGCAAACAAAAATCTTCCAGAACCCTATACGTGAGGTTTGCAAGGTAACGGGGTATCTTATTGAGAATATGGCGTTTGATCGATATGCAAATGGAGTTATGACCACGTAAGTCTAGTTTGCAGGCACAAACCCTGGCTAGTCGTAAAAGAGAGTCTGCACTATAAGACTACCATATGCCATGTACTATAGCTGCTCCTTACACACTGGGCTAGGCTTCTTTCAAGGCACAATGATTTTTTGATAAAGTGTCAAATTAGGGTCTGTGCTTGCAGACTAACGTAAGCCGGCGCTTCTCAAACTTTTATGAAAGTCGAGGCCCACCATTTGCTCTGTACTAGAAATTCTCAATGATAAAAGCACCCTAAATATAAAGATTTGCAAAAATTTTCCTTTTCTACCTCTGTATGGAAAAGTTTATCCCGCTATCAACAAAGAAGAAAATGACAGTTTTTTGTTAATGTACCTGTAGATGGAGAGAGATGCATGTTTGATTTCTATGTGAGGTTTACTTATGTGAGCGCGGGGGGGGGGGGGGGGGGCTAAGAGAAGCCCCCCCCCCCCATCGTACATGCCGTTTTCCCCAAGCTTCGTTAACAAGAATGTTCGTAATTTTGAAAATGCATGAGTTTGTAGTATCAAATGTTCATCATCCGAAAATTCAATAGAACGCCTTTGAAAGCTATATTATTTTTGGATTTAAGAAAGTTTAGAATAAATATTATGAGCCCTATTCCATTTAAGGAATTATGAAACCTTACATAATTTTCGAAATTATGGGACTTTGGTAGAAAGAACCATAGGACTGGACAGCCCAAACTGTTGGGAGTTGTATACCCTATTTCATTGTTGGGATAATAAACCACCAGGAATGTAATTTGACATTCCTATTCCAGAATTATGAACCTTCGTAGAATTTAACTTGGGAAAACGAGTGCCCTCATAACTAACGCCTACATTTGTGTTATGAAAAAGGGTGGGGTCTAAATGATTACCAGGAAAATTGCATGCTCTGTATCCCTCTCTCTCCTTCTCATTGATATTTTGCTACTTGTTTTATTGCTTTGATTATCAAGAATCGATCTCGCAGCCTACTTCTTCAATGCTAAGCTGTACAAGTATTCCCTATACCAGTACAAGAGAGCTTTCGAGGTCTTCAAGGTTTATCTCGGTCCCCTTTATCCGAAATCACAGGAGGCTCGGCAAGGCCAAAAAGAGCTGAGACCATGTATTTCGGTGCAATGGTCATCCTTCCCGGCTGACGTCAGAGACGTTATTGCATTTCAATTTGCCCTGCGATGTTTTATAAAGTAATGCCGGAGATGTTACATTTATTTTTTTATAATTCGTATGTTTTCGAATGAAATAAAATAAATATTGGAGACAATAAAACAAGTCAATACTCTGATAAGAAGGGATTAGAATTACTTGCACAACATGTCCTAGGATTGTGTACTTGTCTCTTTTGGTTTCCTTCCCATAGCCATTTCTTCTCTTGGTATTATCTGAAATACCTCAGAGTTTTTATTTAAAATTCATCTTCCCATTAACACCCAATACGTTATCATCAATGATTTAAATGAGAATGACATGATGAGATGTACAGAAGAGTAGCAACAAAGACGAAACTTTAAACGAGAGAATGTTTATATGAGATCAAAACAATTTAATATGAAGAAGATGTGCTTCTTACACTATGTTATAATTATTGAACACGAATGGGGCTGCATGAAATCGATATTTGATAATAATGAATGATTATTTCATCTTTAATGTGTATCTGTATGAAATTGGTGACTAGTAGGTTGACTGGTACTTTATATGCAAAAATGCAAGAACTGTGTTCGTAAGATATCTATCTCTATATTTCTTTACATATACCCTCTTCTCTGAAATCCGTTTTCTACAATACATCAATGATGGTAATAATAATTCTAGTAACAATATGAGCAATGATAATGTTTTTGAAACACGTCAGTTCAATATTAATATGTGCAAGGCGCAAAGGGAAATAAATTGTATTTTTCTCTTTTTCCGCCTCTTTACTAATGCATGAATAAAATTCACTGCATCAATCTTGCAGCCTACTTCTTCAATGCTAAGCTGTACAAGTATTCCCTCTACCAGTAAAACAGAGATTTCGAGAACTTCAAAGTTTATCACGGTACCCTTCATCTAGAATCACAGGGGCTCGACAAGGCCAAAAAGAGCTGTGACCATTCAGTGTGATACAACAAACATCTTTCCATGCTAACAGTGGCGGATCCAGGGGGGGGGGGGCCCGGGGGGCCCGGCCCCCCCCCCCTTGAGAAAAAATCATGTAAAATCACGTGATTTTTACCTTTTTGGGGGGTTGGGCCCCCCCCTGGCGCTCAAGGGGGGGGGGGGGTGCAAATTGAAATTTTTTTGAGTCACAAAAAAAAAAAAAAAAGTGCTCACCCCCCCACCCCCCCCCCCCCCCCCCCCCCCCCCCCCCCCCCCCCACTGAGCGAATTTTTGGCCGGCGCGTTTTTCAAATTTTCGGGAGCAAAAAAAAAAATTGTGCTCTGTACACACACAACCTTCACACTTCACTGAGTTACACTTCCATAAATGGTTGAAATAAGAATGAGATGTTGTTGAAAATTCCAGAATGGTAAGAACAAAGACAAAGATATAAATGAGATATTATTTAAATGAGATAAAAACAATTTCATATGACTAAAATGTGCATCTTACATTCTGATATAAGTATTGAAAACGAATAGTGCTACATGGACATCGAGACTTAATAATAATTAACGATTATTTCATCATCAATGTATGTCTGTTTAAAATTGATGACTAGTAGATTGACTGTTACTTTATACGCAGGAATGCAAGAACTGTGATCGTAAAATATCTATCTCTAAAATTCCCTACATATAGGTTCTTCTTTGAAGTACGTTTTCTACAATTGATTTTTTATTTGATTTTATTTCTGCATTTTTTCCATATAAAATATAACTGAATAACAAAGAACCTATAAATGTAAGGTAATAATACAACATAAACAAACAATAATTTCTTCATGTCAAATTTTTTTTTTACATAATATATATATACATATAATAACGACACTTAATATTTCCATAACATATAATCATGAATTTAAAGTATTATCCAAACTATTCTGTTGGAAAAGTGCAGGAGACCGCAATCATAAGCAAAGCTCGACAAGGATGGCGGCCTTAAAAAACACACACCAAAAAAATCTTAAGGTAAACCTTAAAATGTAAAAGTGTTTAAACGATCTTTGTGTATGAGTTGGTGAGTGTGTTGTGCAAGTGTATGTATATATAGTGTATATATATATATATATATATATATTGTGTGCGTTTGTGTGCGTGTGTGTGCGTGTGTGTACATGTGCACGCGAGCGTGCGTGTTTGTATGTGTTTGTAACCAATAGTGGAAGTGCACGTAGCTCTGTGTGGTATAGTGGAGCCTTTAATACCTTCAATACATTTATGATGGTAATAATAATAATACTAATAACAATATGAGCAATGGTAAAGTTTGTTAAACGTAGAATTTAACTTGGGAAAACGAGTGCCCTCATAACTAACGCCTACATTTGTGTTATGAAAAAGGGTGGGGTCTAAATGATTACCATGAAAATTGCATGCTCTGTATCCCGGAGGAATTCCTAACTTTCCATTCCGTCTAGGGCAACCGTTAGCCACCGTCGGAACAGGGATAAGCTTCGGAATCGTCTGTACCATACTGCCGTTGGTGTGTTGCTTCTGCAGACACTCGTTGAACATTGGTAAGGTGTAGTTGAGCCCAAACGCGTTCTTGTGGCAGGTTTGTGTCATTTCAATTGCATCTAATGGCGCGGGTAAACCTGTGTGCCGGAAAGATGATGATGATAATGATGTTGACCATGATAGTGGTATGATGATAGTGATGATGATGATGACGTTGATGGTGGTGATGATTATGACAATACGAACAACACCACCAACAATATCATAAACCTAATATTAATAATGATGATAATTATGATAATAATAATGAAATTATCATGATAACAATAAGAAAACAAAGAATGATTATTAACAAAAAATGTGGATTTTTGCACATGGGTATTTAGGAGGGGCACTGACATTATAAAACTAAGGGCACCAATCGTATTATTTTTATGAAGTGTAAATAAACAAGGTCACCTTCTTTTTGATGAAAGTGGTTATATAACCTTTTTTACATTCTTCCCCTCTCCCTCCCTTTTTATTTCACGGATGCGGCACATGTGCCCCTTGGATAATTAAAAAAAACTGCATGCTACAATGCTTTTTTTAATCTAGGATCTTATTTATCTACTCCGCCAGATAACGTTTATGCTTAAGTAAATAAAAACAATCATCTGTAATTTATTTTTAAATCATACACACCAGACATATAGAAATAAGATTTGAGGTGATAAGTCTGAGATGAATAGACAATAAAATGTGGCACAAAGATTTCTGAATACAAAGAAAAATAATGACCACCGTTTAAGAATAATAATGACGAATATTAAGCATGAGCATATGGATTAATTTGGGAAAACATAGATAACAATCATTCAAATAGGGTTGCAATATGGTTTTGAAATGTTATGTTTGAGGAGTAGGGTACATACCAACAGAAAGGAAGATCACCGTGCCGTATACGCACTTCCAATGAAGCTTTAGTACACTGGTCTGTATAATTAGAAACAGGTTTACAAAATAAATCATCATGATGATAGAGTTCTGATGAAACTCTTTCCTAATAAATTATCTATGCATCTATGTCACTTATCTTATCATAGATTATCTCGACTAGCACGCAGAGGTAGGCGGTCACATGCCTCCCTAGTATACATGCATAGACTCTAATTTGACACTTTACCACAGTCAAGCTTTTTCTGCAAGATAGACGCCACTTCATCGACTTTTACACTGTAAAACTTGTTTGTATAGAATGAAAACAACTTTCAGAATCATCATTGTGATTATTATTCACACGAAATAGATCATATAGGCATGCGGCAAACATTTTCTTATTTTACCGTCAGTTCTTACCATTTTTGTGAATCCTCAGTCATGGAGTCCTTTACGTCAGGATGATGATGCGCAATTGAACACTGTTCTATCCAAGTGTGACTTATTCTCACATTTGAATTCAGTCCAGGTATCAGCTAGGTTGCGAACACAAAGCAACGTACGCATTACGTTTTGCGTCGCGTAGCAGCAGTAGGCACGGGTCACCTGTACCCCTCACGATGGCCTTTATTGCATGTTCTCTCACATTTCAGTTTAAGACTTGGTATGTACTCCCTTTCCCCCACCACAGTGCCCCTAAATTCATGGGCCCATGCTATTCCATTGCAGTGTTGCATAGCAATTACACGTGTGGGGCGGGATAAAAAGTTGAAAGGAAAGATATGTATGCAACCTTTTTCTGAGTTTAGTATTGGCTTCATGAAGACGAAAGTATATGACCTTGACTAGGCTAGATGTAATATCTAAGGAGGTTTGAAATGAGATCGTTTACCACTCGAGACGTATTAGTATCAGTACTTCAAACAAAAATGTAATGATTATTGCTTTGACATTATCACATTCTTAATAAAAAAATTACAAGTCGAGGCGCCGCTCATAAAATAGCAAAAATAAAGTTAAACATATATTCAATCCAAGAGTCATTGTTAAGTGCTTCAGTACAAATGATTTCATTCACCTGTTTTACGAATGAATGTATTTTAATATTGAAAATGCGAATTGCATATATTACGTGTTGTTAGGGAAGGTAGCCCATACTTTTTCTACAACCTATTAACATCACTGCCAAGTAGTTTATCTTCTTCGGTTTATCTTTCTCGATCCCCAGATTGTTTGAAGAGTTGAAGCAGCATTTCAATCTTGAACTGGGTCATTGTTATTTGCTTCATTACAAATTATTTCATTCACCAGTTCTACGAATAATGTTTTTTTAATATTGAGAGTGCGAATTGCACACATTACGTGTTGTTAGGTAAGGTAACCCATACTTTTTCTCCAACCTAGCAACATAACTGAAATGATTGTTAAGGCTTAGCAGACATATAACTCTTTATACCTTAGGGCCTTGTTAGAGGAGGTGAGTTTATAATTACTGTTTCCAATTTATTGCTTGAAAAACGAAGAAATAAAAAAACAATTAACCGATCAAAGCATTTGCAGCATTGTTACTGTACCATTCACTGGTTTCAACTACGGTTCTGCACTTAACGATGCCTTCTCTCCACTCCGCCGAAAAATATTCCAGTCACAGCGTGCACATGATATTCAATTACATTGACTCTGAATTTCGGTTTGAGTTTCCTGTTTTCTTAGCTCAGGCTGTGTGAATGAGAGTTGAGTTTCACCAATGCAAGTTTTGATGACTGATTCTGATGATCAGATCAGATGGATGATAAACTGTTTTAAATGATTTTACCAGTTCGAGAATAAATGATTTGTATGATCATCTATCGCGTGACTGGATGATGTGAGAAGTGGTAGTATGATTTATTCATGTAATTGTATTATCCTTTTATCAACAATTCCTGCTATCGACTTATTTCTAACCACCCCTTGCCATTATGGCAGGAGGTACTGTAGTTACGTCCTTAAAAAGCGGAATCTAGACATCCTTAGACAATCATCTTCAAGATTACATAAGAGAGTTAACACGTTATGAATAACAGGAATATCTACACGGAGTGCAAGTTCTCGTGGCAGATTTGTTATAAGTCTGTTCATTGTTACAGGGGTTCCCAATCAGTGAGAGGAGGTCGGCTCTGTTGATAGTTGAGAAATATATAGAGAGATATCGTGGTCGTGTTGATAACTCACCGAGCTATGTACTACAATGCTCAGAGTTCAAATCCATGCCACATAACACTGTTGTTCTTTGAGAAGACACCAATCTTCATTTGCGTATCTCCAACACAGTGAAAAGCTGAATCCAGAAAACCTTAGACAATCGTGTTCAAGCTTACATAAGCCATGTTCAGACGGGGTTTTGCTATTCGGCGTAAGTTAATCCCTGCAGCAGACCAAACGGCGGTTCACCTCTTAGACTTTATAGGGCTAGGCACATGTGGGGCATGTGTCGTAGTCGAGTGGTTTAAGCACTTAACTGGAGATTCAAAGGTTGTGATTTCAAGCCCTGATCCGACATCATAGTATCCTTTAGTAAGGCATTAATATACTTTTGCCACTCTTTACTAGGATCTTAAATGGGTTCCGGTAGATAGGAATTCATGCAATTCTATATAAAGCACCTATAACCGGTGGTTACACTCCATCAGCCGGGTGATATTGGAGGATATGAGCGCTGTGAAAATAAAAGAATTTGGAAAAAAGTCTCCCAAACGATATATATCAAAATAATCAGAGACAATTTTCATTCCAATGAATAGTAGAGACTATCGTCCTTTAATTGACACTAAACAATCTGATGTTTTTGCAATATACATTTTAGAGACTTTGCGAGCAGTCCACCTTTTTTGAGACTCGCTGTATATCTTAAATTCACATACCAATTCAATCTCTCGACTTGATCCCTTTCTACATATCCCTCTCTGTTTTGTTCTGACACACATGCATACGCACACGCACGCACTCTCTCACACACACATCTCACACACACATCTTGTCTTCACCTCTCTTAGATTGTCAGATCAAAAGCAAAAAGTTCTATTTGTTTAATCATTCTACTTCATTTCCAGAGTCGATCTCGCAGCATTCTTCTTCAATAATAAGCTTCACAAGTATTTACTCTACCACTTAATCTCTCTCTCTCTCTCTCTCTCTCGTTCTCTCTATCTCTCTCATTCATTGATATTTTGCTACTTATTTTATTGCTTTGATTATCCAGAATCGATCCCGCAGCCTACTTCTTCAATGGTAAGCTGTATAAGTATTCCCTCTACCAGTACAACAGAAGTTTCGAGTCCTTCAAGGTTTATCTCGGTCCCCTTCATCCAAAATCACAGGAGGCTCGGCAAGGCCAACATGATCTGAGACCATTTATTTTGGTGCAATGGTCATCTTTCCCGGCTGACGTCAGAGACGTTATTGCATTTCAATTGGCTATGCGACGTTTTTTAAAAGTTATGCCGTAGACGTTTTATCTATGTATTCATAATTCATATGTTTTCGAATAAAATAAAATAAATATTGGAGACAATAAAACGAGTCAATACTCTGAAAAGGAGGGATTAGAATCACTTGCACAACATGTCCTAGGATTGTGTACTTGTTTCTTTTGGTTTACTTCCCATAGCCATGTCTTCTCTTGGTATTATTTGAAAAACCTCAGAGTTTGTATTTAAAATTCATCTTCCCATTAACACCCAATACATTAAAAAACCTGTACACTTCTTCGAGTTGCCTTTTCATAAATTATTCAAATGAGAATGATATGATGAGAAGTACAGAAGAGTAGCAACAAAGACGAACATATAAACGAGAGATTGTTTATATGAGATCAAAACAATTTAATATGAAGAAGATGTGCTTCTTACACTACGTTATAATTATTGAACACGAATGGGGCTGCATGAAAATCGGTACTTCATAATAATCAATGATTATTATTTCATCATAAATATGTGTCTTTTTTAAAATTGAGGACTAGTAGATTGACTGGTACTTTACTGATATGCAAGAATGCAAGAATGTCCGTAAAATATCTATCTCCACAATTCCCTATATTTAGTCTCTTCTCTTAATTACGCTTTCCACAATACACTAATGATGGTCATACTAATTCTAATAACAATATGAGCAATGATAATGTTTGTGAAACATGTCAGTTCAATATT